TTGTTGATCATCAGAAAGATAAATCAAAAGAGTGTGGTGAAAAAAGACTTGGTTTACAGGCTAGAATAATGATTTYTATGCGTCATAAATATAAAGTGCGAGAGAAAATCCTTCCTGGACAAACATTGAAAATGACATTATGATAGTTTATCCCTCCATCCCTTCAAGTACATACATGTTATATTGTGAAATAATACAATACTTTTTCTTGAGTTTAGACGGACAGGAAAGTCGATATCTGTAAATCAACCAAGTAACATTCAAGATTTCATGAACAACATAGATAACCTATTCCCCCAAACTAGTAAGTCATGTTCATCATGTAACTCACATTGTGTATCAGTTGTCAAAAAAGATTATTGCTTACTTTTGCAGATGATGACAGCATTATGAAATCTGTCAGCAGTAAGTAAACAATATCATTATTATAAATAGTGCGTTAAAAAATGAATGCTTTGTTGTTAGATTGTCTTCCTACATGTATGTTTAGTATAACCATTAATCAATTTTTATTTATTATACCTGTAAACCATTTTGCTTTTGACAGATATTTTTTGTTAATCAAAGATTATTAGCTGGTCAATTTATTGTGTTGCACGGAAGACTTGATAAACTCTAACTCATATCATTTCCAGAAAATGACCAAAGCATCAACCATAGTCAAATTGAAGGGGAAAAAGAAGACACAAGCAAACAGGAAGCAGAAAATGACAACAATGTCACACCTACAGAAGATGAGAAGAAACCTGACCACTCACCAAACCTGACAGGAACAGCTGTCAAGAATACGGCTGAACTGGATGAGACTGCAGTGAAGTTTTACGGTTCAAAGAAAAGATTGTTTCCTTCTTGTGAAGAAAGTTTTGTTAGTCAAGCTCCTGATGGATCTAAGTAAGACAGTCATTGTACATGTTGTTCTGATTTTGGTTTGACTAAATTCAGTATCTTGACCATGATGCTTGAAAAGAGCCAACTTGTTGGCCTTCGTGACAGTTGAGATTTGTAAGGAATTGGGCTGGGTTGGGAGTGTAACCTCATGGAAGAGACCATTTGGTCAGAGATGGTCRTAAGAAACAATGTTTTTTATATATATTTCAGGCATGAGTCCAATGTTCAGACTGAAGAAGATGTTGACATTACAGAAGATGTTGACATTGATGTGGAAAACTGCACAAACACATCAATCAACCCAKCAATAAGCTTGCGATCCACCAAGTCAAAYATGAAGAAATCAAAGGAATCTAATGGCAAATCAAAACATGAGCAATCAGTTAAGTCAAACAGCAAGAAGTCAAAAAGATCGGATTTTGAGGTGGAAGAAGAGAGTGAAGATGAAGAAATAGATGTTGAAAATTGCTCAGANATGTTGTTAATGATGGTGGTATAGATGATGATGTTGTTGATGATGGTGGTATAGATGATGATGTTGTTGATGATGGTGGTATAGATGATGATGTTGTTGATGATGGTGGTATAGATGATGATGTTGTTGATGATGGTGGTATAGATGATGATGTTGACGATGAAGTATTGGATGATGATGATGAGATGTCACAAACCAAGCGTCAAACAAGATCTATCGTCAAMAMAACACACCRCAWCRATGMTACAAACAGTTCAAAAACATCCAGCAATAAAGAGAAGAGAGCACAAAGAAAGAGCAAAAATTTGGTGTCACAGGAAAGCAGTCAAGTCTCAAACACTGAAGAAGTTAATGAAAACCCAAAGGAAAACTCGACAGATGATGAGAAGAAAAACTCAGGGAATGAAGACAAAAACGCAGGCAGAAAAAGTATGCATAAGAATTCATCTTCAGATGAAGACAAAAGCGACAACAAAAGTGACCAGACTACTAGAAAATCAAGAGGAAGACCAAGGAAATCTACTCGATCACTGGTTGAAACATCTCAATGTGATGAGGTGCTAGGATCAAWTGATATGAATGACTGCACAGATCAGACTCATACCGACCACAACAGGGGCAGCCAAGCTGACAACACCAAAGACAGTCAGATTGACAATGGGCAGAATAATCAAACAGACATCTCTAAGGTCAGTCAAAACGACCACACCAATGACACCCTGGACTGTCATGATTCTCAAGTGTCCATGAGCAATGATTATGAAGCAGACGAGTCCAAGACCATGTCAGACAGCAAAAAGTCAGCATCAGAGAGCAAAGACGATAAAAAGAGCAAAAAGAAACGACGCAAAAAGACAAGTGTTATACCAAAACAACTGAAGAACGCAAACAGAAAGCGAGGAGGGAGAAARTTACCCAAAGATAACACAAGCAGAAGTGGAGTAGAGTCAAATGCATCGTCAGATGAAAGTAGCAAGGCAGAGAAGGTGAACAAGAGAGGGAAACGAAAAACACAAAACCAAGGTACCATCCAAGATAATTCTCAATTAGGACAAACATCAGATGTTAATGAAGACATACCAGTCGCAACCGATGAAGACTACCAGTCAGTTCATGATACAATAAAAAGTGATACTATACCAAGTGATAAAGCACTTTCGACAGGTGAAGATGATGAGTCTAAAGCCACATACGATGATGAAAACATAACCCACCAAGACAGCAGAAAGAGAAGAGGACAAGAAAACAAAGACACAGAAACTACTGTTAACAAGAAATCACGATCAAGAAACAAATCAAACATAAACCAAACGGCAATGCATAGTACTTCTGAAGATGACAACCAGTCTGACAGTGCAATGGTGACCAGGAAGACCAGACAACAAGACAAGAACAACACTAGAAGTATCAACAATAATACTCGATCAAGAAAAAGACGCAATAACTCTTCAGAATCAAGCACAGGATCTGATAACGACAGCCAGTCTGAAAAAGAAAAACCAAGAAAGACCAGGAAAAAGAACAAGCAAGACAAAAATGAAACAACAATCAATGAAAAGTCCCAAACGAGAAGCCGATCAATCCTCGATGACAACCCACCTGAGACTAACACCCCTATGATGACCAAAAGCCCTTTCCTCCATCCAAAAGGATCAACGATTATCAAGTCCATCTTAAAATCAAGTTTACCAAGAACTGGAAACTCCGACTCTAAAAATCGTAGAGTTAGTATTGCAGCAAAGAGAAATGAAGTAAAGAGTCCTGAACTGAACAGCGCCAGAAAAAACGACAGACGATCATCGGTGAGCTTCGCGGCAACTCCGTCATTCCGAGTTTCACCCGATGACTTTACGACGCCAGAAGACACTCCACTCGGTTACCCTACGATGTCTTTTGTGTCCGATTCAAGTTCTTACACACTAGGGGAGAGTACTTTTACACCGGGTAGCAGTATATCGCTTTCATCAACGATCTCGTCTGTAGGGTCAGCATCAAGACTGTCTCCTGTCAGTAGTACATTTAACGAGTCTCAAGAAGTTACTATCACTAGTGCTAAACGACAACAAGTTGAAGAAGTCCAGGAAGACGTTATCAGGCGCAGTAAAAGAACMAAAGTACCGCCTGTACAATACTGGAAGAACGAGAGGATAAAATACGAGAGAAGGAAGTCAGGTAGGTCATTTTTGATTGAAATCATTTTACATAGGTAAAATATATTTTCGGCTAGTATTTCTAGTAAAATTGTCACCAATAATAACACTTGTATCAGGCTCCTGGATAGAAGTTGGAAGAGTGATCTACAATTTCTATTAGATGGATGGCTGTTCCATCTACAATTTCTACAAGATGGATGGCTGTTCCATCTACATTAATCGATATCAGTATGATACTATATGTTTCATAAGAATGTTTTATTCTTTTAACTCGTGTATTTTATGCTAAGGTTGGTATATTGACGGAATCGAGAGCGTCCCAACACCTAAAGTACCAAAACGAAAAGCCAGGAAAGCTAGAAAGAAAAAAGGTACTATTTTTATTCTATTTTTGATTGTTCTGTTTAGTATACCCTTCTCATGCAGATGTTTGACATGTTTGTACATTTATATCCTATTCGTCTTGTTTCATTTTTTATTCTCATTTCCATTTGTTCATTATTTCTTTAATAACTGGAATAATAGAGAGAGTAGCAGCTCAGAGTGTGTATGATGGATATGGTGGCGACGAGCCGCAAACGTTTAATGTAAGTCATAACAATCAGTGCTTTTTGATGGTAATCTTGATGTTAACCTTGATGTTATCGTTGATCTGTTTTTGTTGCTAGTGCATTTGTTTTCATGTTTGTGCTGGTGTAAAGATTATTTTGGAGTTGTTCAATAACAGTTCGCTGTTGTTACTATTGTCAGTTTGGTTGACAACCACTAAGGCGTCTAATAAGTCCTACAAATCATTCAATAGGGTGTTCCCACAGATTTCGACGAGACGTTGTGTGAACCTGTTCCTGTTATCAATCCCTTTGATGGACAAGAAGTCAAACTAGGTAAAAACTAGAAGCGCTAGTGTTACACACATATTTTTTTGTTTTTTATTCACACAACATTGGAACTGAAAGCTCCTTGGTTTGCAACGATGTTTCCACAATTTGATAGCATTATTCTGAGAACACATTTTTGTATCGCAGCCATTGTTCTAGCCTTCCTGGCAAACCTTTACTGGTTTTTAAGTGTACATAGGAAACAGTCGTTGTTTTTGTCTCACCATAATGTCACAATGAATAAGGCCCGTTTCAGACGTCGACCTTTTGTCGAGTCTAATCTAATTGGTGGAGTTGAGTTTATGAGCATTTTGTACTCTGAATTTATTGACATTAGTAGATTTTGTTCAGTTGGACAAACTTACTATAATCCGTAAATATCAATCGATGAAGACTGCAAACTTCTCGAGGACTGCATGTAAGCAATTAGATTAGACGTGGCAAAAGATCGACGTCTGAAACGGGCCTAAGGCTCACGGGTTTAAGATAGTGCTAGAGATTCATTCGATTTTAATAACTAATATTAATCATTGCCTCTCCATTAGAACTGTTACATACCCCTGAAATGCTTCAATTCGTGAACACGTCACAAGACCCTGCAGGTCCTGAYGATCCGTTAGTCATAGACAAGTTCATATCCCATACTTCATTTGGTATAGGACAGCTCGTCCTAAGGCCTGGAGCCGAGAAAGGGAAGCAACATGTACGACGGGACACAATGGTAAGACAAAATTTGATTGACACCTGTCATGGTAATAATTGATAACGACGTAATAGCCTTTATTAATGCAAAAAATTGTTTTGACTGAGATTCTCTAGGAGCGTACAACTCATGTACATTAATGTTTAGTGAGTACTTTCATCGTCTATTTTCGCGGACTTGCAGGATTGCGCACTATTCAACAGTTTCCAGTCAGTTTCTCGACGACTGAAAACGTTTGAAGTTTTCTTTCTGTCTAAAATTCTTTTAGTTCAATATTAAGCCAATTGTATTTTTTGGATATCCCAGGCATTTCATGTACTTACTGGACAAGTAGAAGTCACCATCCATCAAACAACGGCGCTGTTACGAGCTGGATCAACCTTCTACGTACCAGAAGGTAACCGAGACTGTTACCCCCCTCTTCCCTTCTCTTTCCCTCTCTTCCCTTCCTTCCTTTTCTTCCCTTCTCTGGCCATACTTTTTTATTTCAACATGTATTTTTTTTTCATTTTTTTTTTAGGAAATTGTTACAATTTGAAAAACACCAACGACACAGACACAAGATTGTTCTTTATACAAATCAAATCACAAGACTGACAGCTATAAGTATTGATCGTTAGTAGTATTTACTATTGATAGTTTATGAGTAGTCTAACGTAGGAAAACGTTTGGTCTATCCCTTCAAGGCGAATGGGACTAAAGACTAACTGAGAGAGGCATGCAAAAATGAACTTGTAAGAAGTCAAAGTTGTATTTCACTAAGCTGTAAGGGACCTATAGGTGTATATATCAGTCAGCGTATTTTAGACATACACGAAAGCAGTCATGGCTAACGTAACATTAGGTCAGTAATGTGTTTTTGTGATTTCTCATAGGACAAGATTTTTAAATCCAGGTCTGATTGTTCAATAAGTTTTAGGCTCATAATAAAAAAAGTTAAACAAGCAAAAGAACAAAAATACTAATAAAACGTTAGCGTTATTTGGTCTCGCATACTTTCTGAGCCCTGTCTTATGTCGGTCTTCCTCTGTAAGGAGACTATTGTTAGTGTTGATTAAGGTTTAAGCAYCCTGGCATTGTAAATACATTGTAAATACTAACATTCTTTGTAATACATTTGTTCTAATATCGAGCGTTCTTGTTGATTTGAAATTTAAAAGGGTTCCAAATGTCTTTATTATTTCTGTCATCAGATTACTTACATTTTGATTGAGTACCTGACTGTACTACTGTAGCATGCATGTATTATTCTCTTCAGCTGAACTAATGCTAATGTTCCAATCAAAATTACAAATTTTTTGTCTCAGCAAAGTTGTTGAACAACCTATTGGCAAAATGCTGACAATTTTCAGAGGTCCAGCTGTATTTTTTGTAGAGTTCTCTCCCGTTGTACAGCCACTGTATAAAGTCTTTCATGGTGCCTTGCCCTTCTTTCCCCACTATTACGTATATGGGTGAATTTCGAGGTGTTCGTCTGGAGCGGTCTTTGATAGAATCGAGTTTCCTTGCCCTCTGTACTGTGATTCCTTCGCTATTTTTCTCAATCGACCAATACCAGGACTTTGTTTCAAACACTATAAACTGGTGATTAAATAGGAACTGTGTAAGCTGCCAAGAACTTAAGGGACATTTAAAGACACAGATGGCTTCAATCTTTTCATCATCGACTATGAGCCTTGTCATCTCCTGCAGCAGCTGATCGTTGGAAATCTCTTTCAATGGACCTTCCTCATCAGCGATGGGGTCAAAAAAGACTTTGCTTTTCCACTCTTCGCCATTTTTACCATCACTTCCGCTGATACTGGTGCTAATACCCATTTGATGTTCTATAAGATGAGCAATACGAGTATATGTCATGCCGCTGCTCCTCTATAAGTCAGTGCCTTTCACTCGGTTAAACGTTGGTTAGCTAAAAAACTTTTAAGAAACTGGGGCATATTAAACCGGCGCTTAGTAGACGAACTGTTTTGAGTGATTATCATGACCAGGTTATTAGTTCTACCTTTTCGTCAATTTATCCGTGCATTATGTCACGTTTAGACCACAGGAAGCCCAAATGTTATAGATGAAATCACATTGTCGCCAAAGGTTCTATTTTTTCATACAAGCTACAACGTTTTTTTTCCCCTACTACTAATCCTCTATTTTTCGCACTATACTTGCTACTAGGCGGACTTCACGCTGCTACAGCGTCTAGTTCCCTAGTGTTCTTATCTTTTCCTGTTAAAAGTGAAAGTTTAGCATTACATAGCTTAGGAACGTTTGCTTGGTGGAAACTAGCTTTAAACTCAAACTAGTAGTGAGCTTGTCTTTACTGATCCGACGAAGGATTAACGTCCAAACCGTCAGTAAGTTGTTTCACCTACTTTTTTACGGTGTTAAATTTATCTTTTTACACAACTGAGCTTTTGCTTGAATGACATACAGCAGTTTCAGCGACTCGAACTTATACGTTATGCAGTAAAAGTGTTTTTGACGACAATCTGCAATATTCACTAAATCAAGCCAACGTCGTTTCATTTTGGTCAAGATCCCAAAACGAATCGTACTAAATCCTAGACAATGCTCACTTGGGTCTGTATGTTGACTATGTTAAGCGTAGTATTACTACAAAATTATTATTAGAGTCAATTTCGTATGAGTGGGAAACGTACGGTAGAAATTACCGCACGGTTACCGCACAGTTACCGCAACCTGGCCTGCACAATTTTTGTGATTTGCAACTGGGATATAATAATAGCAGTTGGACTTCTGGAATAATTACTATTCTATCGATATTCAAACTCCTACCTTACTTCCGCCTTTGAGAATGAGAGATTTTGAGCTGTAGTCTTTTGGCCACTTCTTTCGCTTGTTTGCTGCGTAACCTACAACTTCGCGGAATTCAGTTACTCAGCAGGATTGTCAATCATGAATATTAACTCCTTGTCGACGGCTGTTGATTTGTTGATTTTTGAGCTTTTGCGACCCTAAGAAGTTGATAGAATAATTGACTTCCATATAAGGTCAAATTGAATTCCCTAGGGAGCGTTAATTTAAACGCCTTGCAAATTTAATAGGTCAGATCGTTTGTTTATCGAGCGGTTGGGCCTAAATGCACCGTAAAAACCGTTTGTAAGTGTTTTTTTTTTAGCTTTTTGCTGCCACAGGAGCCCCTAGGCTTGACTGGTCGGCAGAGACAATCTTCTGGAAGAAGTCAGAGGTGCGATTTTTCGAAGACAGTGGCTCCAAGTCACGGTTTTCTTTGAACTGGAGACATCATTGTAAGATCGCTTTCCTGGTCCTTTTGTGGCAGATTTTCGATTGGGACGGAGCGGCAAGGGAGAGAGAAGGCCTTAAGGGGCCTCTCGTCACCATGTCACCATGTTGAGTGACCGAGCGTTACCATCCACTTGTAGCAGGCGTTCCTTGCGAGTCCTTGATCTGAGTTTAAGTTGAAAAGAAAAAGAAAAAAAGAAAGACGAAAAGAAAACAAGAAACAAACGAAAATGAAATCGGTTTTATGCAAAACTATAATCAGGCGAATGACAGTAATTAGCATGGCACTTGATGTAAAAATACAGTTTGAATAATACAAACATTTTATCGAAGAAACGTTCGAGAATTTGAGTTTATAAGTCTACAGATGCAGAAAGATGTCTTTGACTACAGCTAAATTAAAGCTATAAGGAATCCATGTCGTGGATAAAAATCCCTCTAATAATAATAATAATAATAAGAAATGCTTATATAGCGCACTATACATAGTCTCAGTGCGCTTTACAAATATATACAAATAAATATAATAAATACATAAAAATTAGAAATTAGAAAAACATATCACAATATTAATGGATGGATATGTTTACTGATGGATATGTTTACTGATGGATATGTTTACTGATGGATATGTTTACTGTATAGGCGGGGACAGGGCGGCCCGCGTCAGACCCCCACGGGAGGAATGATCAACCATCATAATAGGTTCCCTGGCCCCTGGGAATCGCCGCCTGTTGTGTATTTATAGGCCACGTAATAATTGAACGCCACATGATGTTTCCAGTTCCTTGAAGATAGTGTATTCGAAGTTTACTACTAAATCTCTTTGCCGTCACATTATTTTTTATAGTTTTTCATTTTATATTGACTGTATCTAGTGAATGACTGGGTATATTTAAATATCAATAAAAATTGATGAAAAAGTTCAAAATAGAATCAAAATCTATTGCTCTCATGTATTTTTATTGACTAATAGATGGACAATGGAACATTTTACAAACGT